CGGACTCTCAAGCACTGCGCCACCAGGGAAGCCCGGCAGGCGGATTCTTAACCGCTGTGCCACCAGGGGAAGTCCCAGACCTCACCTTTTAATGTGAGAGCCCTCATCCCTTTAAACTATATGAGAACTTCACACCCGCTTTTATATGATTGACTTTTCTTGTCCTATCTCATACCCACCATTCTCTCACAGGTGTCACGTTTACATTGTATCCAAGTCAGTCTGTTTACTTTATTTCCATTGAACAGGCAGAACTAATGTTATTTCTCTCTCAGGATTAAGTCTTGCAGGTGCACCAACTGAGCAAAAGGCTGCCATTGTAGGCAGCCAGGAGCCCCCAGGCTAATTGGAATAGGGATGCCTGAGGGAGGAATGGGGTCCTCTCAGGGAATCAGCCCTCTGGACACATCTTGGACACAGCAGCACTTTCCTGGTGCACTTCGAACCATGAGTCTGTGATGTGTCCCAGTGTCACGCGTATGTTTTTTCTTTGTCCTGCTTGACGAGAGCTCTACAAAGAACGGTGATCGAGCACATCCAATCCCTCTTACCTTTTTTTTAATCTGTCCCTTCTCCTTGTGAATCAACATGCATTCCCCGTAGGTAGCGTTTTCCTGGCAGTCCCACGTTAATTTTGTCGTCCTTGGGTCAAACGTCACGTGTAGACTGGAGCTCTGTTCCACGGTTGGAAGATCTGAAACACGCAGCCTCAGGAGTCAGAAACTACTTTTCTTCTCCTGCCTCCATTCTCCCTTAACCAATGTGTCTCACGTCTGTGAGCAGAGATCAGGGCTGGGAATCACTGTGCCCCTACCCCTCTCACACATCCTCATCACCCCCTACCCCTTTCCCACCTCTCCTTCCTGTCCTTTCTACAAGGGGAGATGTCCACTGTGGAAATAAACGAAGACCAACAAAGCAGGAAGCACCAAGGGCTATTTATTCAGATCCTGCCATAGTAAAGGGAGTCGGCCACCATCACCTGTGTCTGCAGAATGGGTGGGGGAGAATTCACATCACCAGAAGTGGGGAGCACAGCAGGAGGTGTGATGCCGGTTGACCGTTGCATGTGAGGATAAAGTGAAATTAGGTGCAGGCGTTGGGATGTGTCCCCCAGAACCCAGGGTCACGGGAATGGAAGCAACAGAAGGAGGTGAAGCATATTCATACGTTTATCCCAGTGGTCCTGGGTCAGGAGGAGTGAGGGTACCGGCAGCATGGAGAGTACAACGGCCATCGCCAGGACACGCAGGGAGTTGCCCGAAGGACGTGCAAGGGCTGGGGGAAGACAAAATCAGTTTTCACGGGGGTCTGGACATGGAGACCAGTGGTGTTTCCCTGGGGAGATGTCCAGGGAAAAAACACAGGACTCTCTCCAGGGTGATGGTCAGCATGGTGACCTGGCCAGCCTGGGTCACTGTTGACTACAGAGGGTCCTCAGGCTTCAGTAAGCCTCAGAGATGGCCCCAGAACCAAGAGCCTGTCCTCAAGCCTGAGCACCAGGTCCAGTCTTCCCTGTTACCCTCTGAATCACTTTGGGCAAGTTGCCCACCTGCCTGGTCTGTAACCTGGTGGCAGGGGTCGGGGGATTGGGGGGTAACTCCCAAGTCAAAGGCAATGAAAGGCCACGTACTGCGCCCGAGGATGGGGTTCCTTCATGCAGTGGGAGACCTTTGGGAGACCCTCCACCTGACCCTTCAGCATCCTTTCTCCGGAGCCTGAGGATGAGGGTCCCTCCATGCAGTGCATTTGGGGAAACCCAAACCCTGAGCCTCCAACGTGGTTATCAGAGCCTGTGGATGGGAATCCCTCTGGGCAGTGTCTTTCTCTCTGCACTAAGAGACTGTAAGCCCCCAGCCATAGCTCCTTCTCTATCCCCAGAAATGCATCCCCAGCATATGGGTATCAGGGCGCTGGATACACATTTTACAAATTGAGTGGATTATTTCTGCAGAGAAGACTGTGCTAAAAGCAGGTGTAGCCCCTGGAGCAGCTGCTGAAGTTGGGAACAGAATAGCAGGGATGGTCTATGTAAAGAAAATATAAGCCATTTACATACATATATACATTATTATATAATTCCCCTATGTATTAATTATAAATCTATCTCTTCATTTATAATATATATCTTCATATAAAATTGTAAATATAATGTGAATTATATAGAAATAATTCATGTTTGTATGAACAATTTTATAAATAATATTGATACATAAGGACATTCTGTCACTTATTTATATTATGCTAGGAGACTCTCTCTCTGACAAGCTTGCTTCACACTTCGATCCCTTCGTTATTCACACCCGATGAGGGAAGTTGAAAAATGAGCAGAAAGACAGACACAAAATCAGACAGATGTCATGAGTTTGTAGGGGCTGAGCCTGACGTGGATGTACAGTTCCCCACAGAGCGTGGAAACCGGGGAGCTTTTCCTGCCCCCCAAGAAAACTGTGTTACTTTCCTTGTGCTCCTGTAACAAATTCCCACAAACTTGGCATTTTATTTTTTAATTTTTTTATAAATTTATTTTTATTTATTATTTTTGGTTGCATTGGGTCTTTGTTGCTGCACGCGGGCTTTTCTCTAGTTGCAGCGAGCGGGGGCTACTCTTTGTTGTGGTGGGCGGGCTTCTCACTGAGGTGGCTTCTCTTGTGGCGGAGCTCGGGCTGTAGGTGCGCGGGCTTCAGGGGTAGTGGCGCGTGGGCTCTAGAGCACGGGCTCAGTAGTTGTGGTGCACAGACCGCTTAGTTGCTCCGCGGCATGTGGGATCTTCCCGGACCAGGGCTCGAACCTGCGTCCCCTGCATTGGCGGGCGGATTCTTAACCACTGCGCCGCCAGGGAAGCCCCAGACTTGGCATTTTAAAAACTCCGCACTTAATCTCTCGCAGTGCTGGAGATCGGGAGTCTGACAGGGTCCCTTTGGGGTAAAATCAAGGAATTGGCAGAGAGCTATTTCCCTGTGAAAACTCCACAGGGGAACGTGTTCTCTTGCCTTTTCCAGCTTCCGGAAGCCACCTCCTTCCTGGGTGCATGGTCCCCCTCCATCTTCAAAGTGCATAACTCCAGCCTCTTCATCATCACAGCACTGCCTCTCTCTTATAAGGACACTTGTGATGACACTGAGCTCAACCAGATAATCCAGAATAATCCGCCATCTCAATACTTTTCATTTAGTCCTGTCTGTCATGTAAGGTAACATATCCAAAGTTTCTAGGGATTAGGACATGGGTGTTTGGGGGGACGTTTTCTGTCGACCATACGGGGACCAGGACTTGGAATTCGTGGCTCAGGTGACCCATGAAGCCATGGCTGCCACATCACAGTGATTATAAGATGCTCTGGGGGGCTTCCCTGGTGGTGCAGTGGTTAAGAATCCGCCTGCCAACGCAGGGGACACGGGTTCGAGCCCTGGTCCGGGAGATCCCACGTGCCACGGAGCAACTAAGCCCGTGCGCCGCAACTACTGAAGCCCGCGTGCCTAGAGCCCGTGCTCCGCAGCGAGAGAAGCCCCCGCAACGAGAAATCTGCTCACCGCAACGAAGAGTAGCCCCCGCTCGCGACAATTAGAGAAAGCCCAGGCACAGCAACGAAGCCCCAGTGCAGCCAAAAATAAATAAATAAATAATTTTTTTTTTTTTTTTTTTTTTAAAGATGCTTTGGGGAAAATTACAACCCCTTTGCTTAGTGTCTCATTGCTCTGACTCTGTCTGACTAATCAGACTGGATTTGGGGAGAGTGGAACAAGAAATGCGGGTTCAGGTTTCCTTTATGATATTAACACATTTTTTGAGATCTTAAAATATTTTTCAAAACTTGTGTTTTGCAACAATTAAAAAGAGTCATTAGGAACAAAACAGCAAAATAGAAGCACTAAGTACACAGAGAGACACGGAGGAACTTTCAGTGCTTATGACTAAGTACAAGAACCAATCTGAAAAGGGCGTGTAGTGCATGATTCCAGCTCTATGACATTCTGGAAAAAGCAAAACTGTGCAGACAGTAAAAGGATCAGTGGTTGCCAGGGGTTAAGAAGGGAAGACGGGTGAATAGGTGGAGCCCAGGGGATTTTTAGGGCCGTGAAACTGCTCTGCATGACACTATATATAATGACGGATACAGGTCATCATGCATTTGTCCACACCCATAAAATGTGCAACCGCAAGACTGACCCCTGATGCAAATTATGAACTTGAGTCAAGAATCATGTGTCCAACTTGCTCCATCAGCTGTAAGACATGTGCCACACTGATGAATGGTGTCCATCACAGGAGAACTATCTGTACGGGAAGTGGGTACATAGGAATCCCCTATACTTTCCACCTAATGTTTCTGTAAACCTTCAACTGCCTTACACAAAGTCAATTAGCATTACAAAAAAATAGTGCTACGAAAGCACCACGCTCTATTCCGACGAAGCCACACTCCACAGAAAACACCTGGTCTTCCGGCTGGGTTTGGGGTGGCATCTGCGACTCTGCTCACCATTTCCCCAATAGTCTCTTTGGTTGTGGTGATTCATTTTTTGGTGTTGCTGTGACTTGGGATGTGGCCTTTTACCTCTTGCCTTCTCTTGCGCTAAGTCCTGCCAGCGCACACCTCCCCTCTTTGCGCTCCCAGAATCCCATCCTTTTAATGCTTCATCTTTTCCTTGAGGGCCCTCTCTCTCTGCATTTTACGGAGCATGATCATCTTTTCTGTAATTTCCTTGGATTTATGGAGTCTATTGGTCTAAATGCAGCCTCTGTCTCTTGGTGTTTTAGTTGACCGGGGGCTGCCCTAAGAAATGACCACAAGTTTTCTTTCCTCCCTCCTTCCCTCCCTCCCCCCTCCCTCCCCCCTCTCTCCCCGCCTTCCTTCCTTCCTCCTAGCATTTCCCTAATTCATTCCTTCTCCACCCAATCCTGTCCTGTCTCTGCTTTTTGGGGCTCCCTCCCACTATGCCCAGCACGCCTATACCCCTTGGACCTCTTTCTCCACATTCTCGTGTCTCCCTCCTGGGCTCCAGCCCCACCAAGGGGGCTCCTCCATCTTCCGCCAAGGCTCTCGGACGAGCTACAGGACCCACCACCAGCGGACCGCTGGCCCAACTCCTCCATGGCCTGCGTCACCCTGGGTGACTTTGGCATCTATTGTACAAGGGGGACCTCCCGACTTCCGTGAGCCATCTCCACCGGCAAAGACCCTCCGCCCCAGCTGCCTTCACACGCCCAGTCCCCCTGGCCCGTCATCACCTAGACACCCCCTCGGAGACGTGTTCAGGAGTGTCCCGAGCCTGCTGGCGCTACACAGGCACCGGACACCCTCTCCTCACGCCCCAGCTGCCTCTGCTAAGAAGCCGCCAGCACCTCCTGCGTTTAATTCGCTGTTTCCATGAACGCGCCTCCTTTCCCACCTCCTCTGTTGAAGGCTGGACTGGCTCATCTATTGGAGCCGGCAAGGAAGAAAGGAAGGGAGGGAGGGAGGGAGGGAGGGAGGGAAGGAGGGAGGGAATTGCTAGATATTAAATAACAATCATCAAAAAGATAAAGGGCCCACCTAATCACAGAATTTCAGAGCTGGGAACAACCTTGGACATCATCTGGCCTAGCGGCATACAGTTACATCTGCCCCCCAAAGCTTGTTTTTTACCCACAAGATCTATAGAAACTGTTATTTCTAGAACCTTCATCACCCTATACCTATGCTACCCCTGCAGTATCATCACTTCTACTATCCTCTGTATTTTGAAGTTTACAGCACGGATTCTTGCAGGTCAAAATCAGAGAGAGAGAGAGAGAGAGAAAGAGAGAGAAGGAAGGAAGGAGGGGAGGGAGGGAGGGAGGGAGGGAGAAAGGAAATAGATTCCCTGAACCTTCATCATCTCCTCCTGGCTGGATCCCAACAGCGGAGGACCCCACCCACTCCCTTTTCCAGGTGTGCACACCTGGGCCACCGCACACCTGCAGACAAGCCCCCAGCCTCAGATTCCTGCCCCCAACTCCCCCCGCCCCACCCCCTGGGACCTCACTTGCTATCAGAGAGGAAATAAAAGCCACAGAGCAGACCTGTTCCAACTTCCCCACCCGACTGACATCTCCTGCCCTTCTCCCACGATGGGAAAGCACCCAGCTTGCTCCACCTGCGAACGGGACCCCGGACCACCCAGCTTTCCTCTGGGTCTTGTCCCCGGTCCTCTGTGCTGGGGCCGGGCCACCCTCCGGCTGCACCCCAGAGGCTCTGGGAGAGGACCTTCCTGGGTCAGTGCACGCCCGCAGCGACTCTTGCCTTGATTTTCACATCCGCAATTTGTGCACTGCCCTTGCGGTTTGAGCTGAGCCTCACTTAACAGGCCGAAGCACATTAGTCCTCAGCGGTTACAGCACCTGCGCTCATCACCTGGCCCTCTGTCCCGTCAGCTTCCCGGGTGCACTTTTCTCCCCCTTAGTGCCTCGCATCGTACCTGCCTCGGGAAGGGGGGTGGACACGCAGCGGGTACCCAAGGATACACACTATCTTAGACTGATCGACACCCTACAGCGCAGTTCCCCATTCAGCTTCCTCTGAACCGAAACCGCCTTGGCTTCTTGCTCATCGTGATGCGGCAAAACCAGAAACTTCTGTAAACCTGACTTAAAAAAAAACAGCCAAGTTCTCACACACCACAAAGGGACACAGAAATCCACCCAAAGTTTGCTGCTTTAAATCATCAGTTCATCGCAGCCCCCGGGTCTTGGTCGAGGATGGTGAGAAGCCTCCAGAGGGCAATTCACGCAGAGCATGAGATAATCAGTGCTATGATGTATCCTGTTCAGACAGAACCTGGTTTAATTCTCACCCCCGTCCTACGAGGCAGCTCCTGGTACCCTCACAGAAGTGGCCGGAAGACCAAAGCCCAGTGAAATCTCATTCTTTTACTTTCTTTGTTGCCTCGAGTTTTTTAAAGTCGCGGCAAAATTCACATGGTATAAAATTCGCCCTTTGAAACGTACAGCTCAGCAACACTTAGCACATTCATAATGTTGTGTATCCCACCACCTCTATCTGGTTCCAGAACCTTCTCATCCCTCCAAAAGGAGACCCTGTCCCCATGAGCTGTCACTCTCCAGCCCCCAGCCCCCAGACACCATGATCCCACTTTCTGTCTCTGTGGATTTGCCCGCTCCGGTTGTTTCCTATAAATGGAATCGTGCCGTATTTTGCCCTTTGTACCCACTTTCCCTCTTGGTTTGGTTTTCACCAAAGCTGGGCTTTCTTTCCTCTTTTAAAGATTTCAGCTTTACACAGATGTCAGCTGGAAAGAAGGTGCTGAGACCTTGTCTCAGAGCAGAACATCTCTCAGATTCGAGGCACACAGGAAACACCTTGCAGGGGCGTGGGTCCATGGGTGACCCTTGCACAAGCTGGCATTTTGATCTCGCTGTGGTTCTCGGGATGCCACGCATCACTGTGATCGGGCAACACGCAGAATGCAACGCCACCCTCTTCAAGAGCACCTGTAACCTGAGCAGGCCACCCGCTCTGCAGGGCACACCGTTCCACGAAGGCGTCCCCGCCCGAGCCTTTGGACTAAATCCAAGCCACGCCCCAGGCACAGGCTTGTACAGAGAACTCCACAAACTCCCACTGCAAGCTGACTGGCTCCCTGGGACTCATTCAGACCTTAAAATGCAGCTTCACGTGCTACGAGACGTACCCATCACCAATAACCATCTTCACCTGGGAGCCCTTCACCCAGCAGTTTATGTTGCCCACCCTCAAGTTCTCACCCACTTGGAGCGCCAGCTGCCCGGAGCAGCAACAGAGGCAGAAAAAGGTCCCCTAGCGACTTGACACTTTGGAGGACCCCAGGATCAAAGGGACCGGACTAACCCACCGTACCACGCTCGCCCCTGCCAACCTGTGTTTCTCCATGCTGCTGCCTGACGCTGCCGCATCTGGCCCATCTGACAACTAAGTCTCTTCCTCGTCCGAAGGCAAGTGCCCAGACTGCGCGACAAGAACATTTCAGCTCAATATCTTCCTTTTTTTTTTTTTTCTCCTTGATTTCCTCCCCCATCTGTGGTGTTGCTCGTTACAAGGAATTGGGAAACCTTCGTGGTGGAGTTGCCCGCCTTCACCACAGATACAGAGAAGGTCACCTTCCTTAAAGTCCAAGCAGGTGGTTCATGAGGTTGCCCAGACCAGCTGCCAGGTGGGCCTCTCGTGTCACTGCCCATTTTTGTCCCTGGCATGGAGGTCATCCTCCTAAGAGTTGGACCAGACTGATCACCAGGTCTTCTCAGAGTGGACACCATGGTGGGTCTTCATGTCTTCGGTGGAGAACACCCCCTTCCTCCCATTCACAACCAACCCAGTTCTGTTCAATTCAATTCATCAGAACTTTCCTGAGTACCCCAGGGATATAAAACCAGCCAGAGTGGGTAGGAAGTGGCTTTCCAGCTCATGACGGGACAAGGCTGAACAGGAGGGTCATGGGGGCTGGGGACACAAACGCAGCACTGGATGTCCCCAAGGAGGGTCCGTCACATGAGGTGGTGGACAACAGTGGGTGTGGGGTTTCACGGGGACTATATCCTGGGTGTGAGGGAGAGATGATGTCTCCCAAGCTCACTGGGGTTTCGGGGCTCCAGAAATGCAGGAATGTTGGTACGGATCAGAGTCAGGGGAAGAGGAGGCACTGGCAAAGGGGACGGAGCTGGGGGAAGGCTCAGTCCCGCCATGTTTAAGGGGCTTCCCTGATGAGCCACAAAGGGGACGCGTCCATCAGGGAGTTGGATGTAGGGCTCGGCCTCAAGGGAGAGATCTGAAAATCTGAGCAGTGGACGTTCTCCTGAGCTTCCTTCCGGGGAAGGACTCCTCTTCCTGATTCTTACAGGATTTGAGTGGCTGCGGAATGAACATACTTGGGTAGTAAAGTGTTATACCTCAGCAGCCCTGGGCGGTCCACACCCTGCCCACTGCAAAGGAAGGTCTGACCCTTGACCAGCTCCTGGCGGGTCACCTATGAACCCTCGGAACATCCTGCCTTGTTTGCCTAGAGACTTGGGTCACGCCGAGTGGTCTGTGTTCCAACGTGAGTTATGATGGGACTGTGGGTCACGCCACTTCCAGACCTCGGGAGGTGCTGAGTAACTCTCCGTGCTACGTGACTGACCCCGATAAAAAGCCTGGACTCCAAGGCTGGCTGAACTTTCCCATTGACAAATACCCCATGCCTGTCATCAGGCATCATTGCTGGGAGAAGTAAGCCCTGTCCAGACAAGCCCACAGACAGACGACACTGAAAAGCCTAGTCCCTCCTGGACCCTGCTCCCTGCATCTTTTGCCTTTGATGATTTCAGGCTGTATCCCTTTGCCTTATGAAACCAGAACTGTGAATATAACGGTCTTGCTGATTCCCGCAGGTCCTTCTAGTGAATCGTAGAACCCGAGGGTGGTCTCAGGGACCCCGACACACTACCTGTTTACCGTTGTACAGGCCGCTATGTGTGGTCAGGCATGACACACACGAGAGAAGGTGAATAACTAAAGGTCTGGACAAGCGACCCCGTGATGTTTCTCGGGACACCCTGCTGTTCACCTTTTTTTTAAAAATTAATTTTTATTACAGTATAGTTGCTTTACACTGCTGTGTCAGTTTCTGCTGTACAGCAAAGTGAATCAGCTGTATGTGTACATATATCCCCTCTTTTTTGGATTTCCTTCCCACGTAGGTCACCACAGAGCACCGAGTAGAGTTCTCTGCGCTATGCAGTAGGTTCTCATTAGTTACCTATTTTATACATAGTGTCAATAGTGTATAGATGTCCATCCCAATCTCCCAATCCATCCCACCACCCACCTTTCCCCCTTGGTATGCGTACATCTGTTCTCTACGTCTGTGTCTCTATTTCTGCCTTGCCGGGAAGCTCATCCGTATCATCTTTCTAGACTCCACATAGCTGCGTTCCTCTCTCTTAGTTCACCCTGTATGACACTCTCTCGCTCTGCTTTTCATCTTCTGTGCTTTTCCCCGGCTTCTTCAGATCCGCTCAGGGGTCCCACCAGCGTGTGGACAAGGGGTAGGAGAGTAAAGGAGACGCTGCCTGGTCCTGGGTGTCTTGTAAGGGTCCTTCTGGGACGGCCTGGGGACGGCATGCAGGGTGGGGCGGGGCCGTGGGCGCCAGAGTCCCCTCTAGTGACCACCAACTTCACAGGGCTTCTCCCCATTAGACTGTCACTTTAGCACAGTGCACTGTGTGTTCTCGTTTCCACTTTCTCTATTTGGGGCTTGGGTGTTTGGTTTTGTTTTATTCTGACACAATGCATTTTACCCTTTATTAAAGGGTAAGTGTGACCTTTGTCACAGGTCACATTCTGAGAACTGAATGTGGACCTGGATGGGCACACTCCAGCCTTCCAGGAACTCACAAAGGAGGAGGAAAGGTTAAACTGTTCCCAACAGCTCTGGCCCTCCGGTCCAGTACTGCTCCGGGCATCAGGATGGGGTGGGTTGGGAGCACCCCAGGGCCCGGGGACAGGCCACCAAGGCTGGGGACTCAGCAGCCATCACTCACACCAAGGAAGCAAGAGCCCTCACTCCTTCTTTTTTTCGAGAATATTTTGGGTCTTCTGGAACCCTTGCATTTCTGTGTGAATTTTAGGATCAGCTGGTCAATTTCTGCAAGAAAAGGCAACTGGGCGTTTTGAAGGGATTGCACTGAACCTGAAGACCTCGGGGACGATTTCAGAGGCGTCGGTGTCTTAAGAAGATTAGGGCTTCTGATGGAACACAGGATATCTTTCTATTTATTTGGGTCTTCTTGACCCTTTCAGCAAAGCTTTGTAGGTTTCAGTGTATAAATCTTGCACTCTTTGGTTAAACTGTTATCTATTTATTCATGGGTAAAATTACTCATCAGTAAAAACGGATGTATTTCGTTCTTTTGGATGCTATTGTAAACGGGCTTGTTTTCTTAATTTCATTTTTGGATGGCCCGTTGCACACGTGTGTTTACACGTGCATCTCGTATCCTGCAGCCAAGCTGAACCTGTTTATTAGTTCGAGGAATTTTTTAGTGGATTCCTTAAGATTTTCTCTATATAATAGCCATCTGCAAATACATAGTTTTACTTCTCTTTTCTGATCTGCATGTTTTAAAAAGATTTTTTTATTGAAGTATAGTTGGTTTACAATGTTGTTTTAGTTTTGGGTGTACAGCACAGTGATTCGGTTATTATTATATAGATATATTATATAGATATATCGGTCATTATATAGATATATCGGTTATCATATAGATATATTATGTAGACATATCGGTTATTACACAGATATATCGGTTATCATATAGATATATTATATAGACATATCGGTTATTATATAGGTATATCGGTTATCATATAGATATATTATATAGATAGACATATCGGTTATTATATAGATATATCGGTTATCATATAGATATATTATATAGATATATCGGTTATTATATAGATATATTATATAGATATATCAGTTATTATATAGATATATCCGTTATTATATAGATATATTATATAGATAGATATATCAGTTATTATATAGATATATAGATAGATAGATCCGTTATTATATAGATATATAGATAGATATCAGTTATCATATAGATATATTATGTAGACATATCGATTATCATATAGATATATAGATAGATAGATCCGTTATTATATAGATATATTATATAGATATATCAGTTATCATATAGATATATTAAGTAGATATATCGGTTATCATATAGATATATTATGTAGACATATCGATAATCATATAGATATATAGATATGTCGGTTATTATATAGATATATTATATAGATAGACATATCGGTTATTATATAGATATATCGGTTATCATATAGATATATTATATAGATAGACATATCGGTTATTATATAGATATATCGGTTATCATATAGATATATTATATAGACATATCGGTTATTACATAGATATATCGGTTATCATATAGATATATTATATAGACATATCGGTTATTATACAGATATATCGGTTATCATATAGATATATTATATAGACATATCGGTTATTATATAGATATATCGGTTATCATATAGTTATATTATATAGACATATCGGTTATTATATAGATATATCGGTTATCATATAGTTATATTATATAGACATATCGGTTATTATATAGATATATCGGTTATCATATAGTTATATTATATAGACATATCGGTTATTATATAGATATATCGGTTATCATATAGTTATATTATATAGATATATCGGTTATCATATAGATATATTATATAGATATATCAGTTATCATATAGATATATTATATAGTATCTATTCTTTTTCAGGTTCTTTTCCCTTACCCGTTACTACAAAATATTGAGTATAGTTCCCTGTGCCGTACAGTAGGTCCTTGTTGGTTATTGCATATGTTAAGGCAAGTTCGTGTGCCTGATGCACAGTGAGGCCAAACAAGGTCACACAAGGAGACGAGGTGCCTCGTGCCCTGAAAAGCCCCGAGCTCCCTGAAGGGTTCTGGCAAAGCACTTTTAAAAGCCAGGTGAGGGAGCGGTGTCGCAGGGTATATGATCAGCTTGTGCACAGTTGTCCGACCGGCGGATGGAGAGGCAGCAGGGTGGGGTCACAGGGGTCAACCTTATCAGTCCTTAGGCTCCAGGAGGCCTGGGGCTGTGTGCGCATGGTCTCCAAGTAGTTAACATCCACCATTTCGTAGGGGGGTTTTCACATCTGCAAAAGAACTCGGGGAGGGTTTCACTGGTGGCGCAGTGGTTGGGAGTCCGCCTGCCGATGCAGGGGACGCGGGTTTGTGCCCCGGTCCGGGAAGATCCCACATGCCGCGGAGCGGCTGGGCCTGTGAGCCATGGCCGCTGAGCCTGCGCGTCCGGAGTCTGTGCTCCGCAACGGGACAGGTCA